CGCCCTCATGCAGCAGCTTGTATAGGGCCGTTCGATACTCTCTTTAATATTATATACTCTTGATAATACATGTTAATAATTATTTTATAAATTTGTATTTTTTCTTTTATTATATTCCAGGTAAGTGATTTGGAGCATCAGTTGATAACTAAATCAAGTGAAGCAGATACTGTCATACAACAACTGACAACAATTGAAGTGAGACTATGATGATGATTGATGGGTGTGGCCTCCATTAATTAATTAATGCATTATTAATAGAATGAACTGGAGACACTAAAAGATGAGTTGCTCTATAAAGATGATCTGTTGACTGGAAAAGATAAAGAAACACTGGAACTAAATCAGACAATAAAGTCACTCCAGACCAACCTTCAGGTATGTACATGTACATGTACTGGCTATGTACTGTTGTCATCTCTCAGGAATTGGAGGATGTGGTTGCTATGGAGACGGATAAATCTGATAGGTTGATGAGGGAGAGGGCGGGGTCAGAGGATGAGCTGACACTAGTGATGAATGAGAGGGCAGGACTAATGAAAGAACTGACTTCATTGAAAGAAGAATATGAAAGCAAGGTAATAATAACACTATGTACCTGTACATGTACATATACAGTACAATCTGACAGCAGTCCCTGTACTATAGTACAGGCCACAGGGTCACGGGCCAAATTTTACCAAAAATGAAAAGTAAAGATTTCCCCATTCTTATTACATTTCCTTACATGTTCTTATGCTGGGTAGAAAGTTTGAGCTAATTCCGATCAAAATTGGATTTTTTATGAATTTTAAAAGTTGCTCCAAAATCGGACAAAAGTCCCTGTACTATAGTACAGGGATTTTTGCTAAATTTCACCAAAAATGAAAAGTAGAGAATTCTCCATTTTTATTACATTTCCTGATACTATACATGTTCTTATGTTGTGTAGAAAGTTTAAGCTAATTCCGATCAAAATTGATTTTTTTTATAAATTTTAAAAGTTGCTCCAAAATCGGACAAAAGTCCTCGTACTATATTACAGGGATTTTTGCCAAATTTTACCGAAAATGAAAAGGAGAAAATTATTCATTTTTGTTATATTTCCTGATGTATACATGTGCATGTTGTTATTTATTTATTTATCATCATTAGGTTAATCTCTTGTCTGATGAGTTACAGTCATTAAGTTCCAGTAGTTCATTATTACAGTCCCAGTGTTCAGATCAATTATCAATTATTAATGAATTAACACAGTCAGTCTCCTCACTAAAGGACTCTAATAATACCAACGGGGCACTCCTTGATAATATGAGACTGGAGCTTGAGGAAAAGGGGAGGAGCCTATCTGTTGCTATGACAACCAACGAAGAACTGGTGAGTGTTTATAATGTACCAGTATAAGCCACACCCACTTCCTGTTACTATCGACAGGTCAATAAAGTTGATAGTTTATTAATTGACATTTCATCTAATAAAGAGAAACATAATAAAGAAATACAAGCTAAGGATATTCAGGTAATTGTTTATTTATTTATTTATTTATTTATTTACTTGTTTGTTTGTTTGTTTTTAGTGTGAAATTCTTGTTGAAGAAGTTGATTATTTAAATAAATTATTAACTGAGTTACAAACTAAACTGGAGACAGCAGAGAAAGAGAGTGAAGAGAAGACACAATCCAAAGCAGCAATGGAAGAACAGGTAACTAGTTACTGGTAGATATAGAGGGAGTGTAGGAGACTGCTGGTCTCTCGTGTATTGGGTCTAGGTCTTCTTACATCTTCCATTTTTAGTTAGATTCATCTTTTAAAATATTTCTATGTCTAATATTAGTATTACATGTACCTGTATTGTGTATTCCTGTTACAGTTATTAGTGAAGGAGACTGAGATACAGCAGTTGAAGGATCATCAAACTGAAAAGGAACAGCTACTGGAGCAAGTTAGTACCGATATGATGTACATGTACATGTATGCTCCTCCCCTTTCCTTATAAGGTAAGGTCCATCACTGATGATGACGATATTTTTGGATTTTTTGATACTCAAACTGAACGACTGATGGGGCTGGAATCAGACAAGAATCAATTGAATTTGATAATTAACGAGCTACAAGAAATAATTGATAATAATAATGAAAAGATTAGAGAACAAGAAGTATGGAATTATTATTATTATTATTATTATTATTATTATTATTATTATTATTATTATCATCAATAGGTTGAATTATCATATTATTCTGAGTTAAAGAGAGATCACGAGTTATTGAAGACTCAGCAGCTGTCACTGGAATATAAACTGGAGACATACCAAACTGAACACATTAACAGGTAGTGGGTGGAGCTAGTTATTAAGTACTAGTTATTAATTACTGGTTATTAATAGTGAAGGAGAGTTATTAAAGAGATTGGAGTCACTGAAAGAAGACAATGAGACATTACAAGAAAGAATTAATGCACTAACAATGGAGAATGATACCATCAGCATAAGACTTGAAGAAACTACACTGGAGTGAGTGTATGGGGTAATTAATAATGTATTAATTAATTAATAATTATTAATAGATTGACTAGTTGTAAAGGAAGACTATCATTATCAGAAGAACAGCTGAACAGGTACTTACTCTATATATACTACTGAGTGATGAGTGACACTGATTGGTACTGATCATTGATTCATACTGATCACTTTGATTGGTACTGATCATTGATTGTGTGTTTAGGTTACAGGAACAAGAAGAATTGACTTTTAAAGAGAAAGAGGAGCTTCGATCATCACTGGAAATATTACAAGAAGAGAAGTCAAAGCTACAACAAGTTAGTAGAGGAACTTTAGCGTCATGATACAACAGTTACTGTAGGATTAATGGTTGTTAGTATACATATCAGTAATGAGTGTTCAGTATTGGTGTGTGGTAGTGAATGATATATCTATTGTATATTGACTAGGAGTATCAAGAGATAGTGAAGGAGAATGCTTCACTGTCAGGTCATCGTAACTTGAGACAAAGGATACAGTTCCATGCTGACCTCAAGGAGAAGTACCACAAACTACTTGAAGTAACAAACAAATAATAATATTAATAGTAATAATAATAATAATAATAATAATATTAATAATAATAATAATAATAATAATAATAATAATAATAATAATAATAATAATAATCATTTATTTTCTTGTCTGCTTTCTGTAGTTCTTCTAATTCTCTAAGGACCTCTCCCTTTTTCTTTCTATGTTATTGTTTACTCCTCTGTGTCTTATAATAATAATAATAATAATAATAATAATAATAATAATATTAATGATAATGTTGTTGTTGTTGTTTAGGATCACAGGGTGTTGGAGGAGAAGTTCCAGTCCAATTCAGCAGCTGTGGCTCAAGCACTACTGCTGAGTAAAGAACAACCGGTACCATCACAACAAAGAATGACCAGGAGCAAACTGAAGGGGAAGGAGAACATTAGCAAAATAGTTTAATATGATTATTATTATTATTATTATTATTATTATTATTATTAGTATATTTATTTAGTTTATTATTGTTTTTCAACCCTTTACTTTATAATAAATGCTGTTTAACTTATTAATTATTCATTGAAGTGGGTGTGTCTATCCTGGGAAGGATCAGGAGTGCCCGGGCCGGTTCTTTTGTCTAGAATAAAAATGGGTGCTACTTTGAAGTCCCTCGTTTACCTTGTGAAAGAAGCTCTCTTCACTTCAAAACACATTAACTACATCATGATACTGATACTACTAATGGAGAGTATCCTAGTGCCAGTGATTGTATGGAAAGTACCTTGTAAGCAGTGATAATAATAATTATTATATTAATTATTATATTTATTAATTAGATACTGAAATTGATTGGAAGGCTTACATGTCTGAGGTTGAAGGATTTCTGAATGGAACCAGAGACTATTCTAAACTTAGAGGAGACACCGGACCCCTTGTGTATGTAATTAACTGAGTGGGCGTACATTTAGTACATGTAGTATTAATAACTATATTACCAATAGGTATCCAGGAGGTTTCCTGTACATATATTCAATATTGTATTATCTTACTTCAAGAGGATCTGACATTAGATCAGCTCAAGTTATATTCTCTCTCCTCTACCTCCTCAATATGACTCTGGTACTCCAGATATACAAGAAACTATCTAACGTAAGTCTGACCATGGTTGCTATGGTAACTGTGTCATTGCCATGGTTACATGTATTCATTCCTCCGTTAGTTGGTGTCCTTCCCTCCGGTCCTCCTCCTCTTCCTCTCCCTCACTGGTTACAGGGTACACTCCATTTTTGTATTGAGACTTTTTAACGATACTGTTGCCATAGCAACCCTTCACATGGCCATCCTCCTACTAATTAATAATTATTGGAATATGGGATGTATAATGTACAGGTAAGATATTAAATGTATTATTATTATTATTATTATTATTATTATTATTATTATTATTATTATTATTATTATTATTATTATTATTATTATTGGTGTCTCTTCATTGATGTAGTGTTGCTGTTTCTATTAAAATGAATATATTACTCTATAGTCCTGGATTAGGGTTTATATTAATGAAGAGATTTGGAATTAAAGAAACAATAAAGAAAATAACTTTATGTGGACTAGTACAGGTAATAACTGTATTCATGAACATGTGGAGAAAAAATGGAGAATTCTCTACTTTTCATTTTTGGCAAAATTTGGCCCATGACCCTGTACTATAGTACAGGGACTGTTGTCCGATTTTTGAGTAACTTTAAAAATTTGTAAAAAAATCCGAAGTTCATCGGAATCAGCTCAAACTTTCTACACAACATAAGTGCATGTATATGCATCAGGGAATGTAACAAATTGAGGAATTTTTTACTTATTAATTTTGGCAAAATTGGACAAAAATCCCTGTACTATATAGTACAGGGACTTTTGTTTGATTTTGGAGCAACTTTAAAAAATCATAAAAAATTCAAACTTTATTGGAATCCGCTCAAAATTTCTACACAACATAAGAAAATGCATATGTATCAGGAAAAGTGATAGAAATAAAGAATTCTGTCCTTTTTCATTTTTGGTGAAATTTGACTCAAGACACTGTACTATAGTACAGGGACTTTGGCCCAATTTTGGAGAAACTTTTAATTCATAATTATGTTATTTTTAGGTTGTTATTGGTTCTCCATTTCTCTTATCTCATCCTGTATCATACTTGATGATGTCATTTGATGTCACTAGAGTGTTCCTTTATAAATGGACTGTGAACTGGAGGCTAGTACCTGAAGAAGTGTTTGTATCAAGATGGTTCCACTCCTCATTATTAATAATACACTTATTATTAATTATACTATTTATTAATTATAAATGGATGAAGTAGGTCCCATTAATTATCAAGTACATGTATATACTGATGATATTCTTGTTCAGGTCAATGAGGTACAGAGACCTGTTCTCATGGTCCAGTAATGGATCAATGGCTACTAGTGAAGGTATGGGCTCATCAGTAATAGTGTCCATTATACACTGGATGAGTACATGTACTCTAGTATTAGTAATGTTCATGTATTAGACTGTCTGTATTAGTAGTCTGGGGTCTATGCATACAGTAAGTGACTATGAGTATAAAGTATAGGAGGTCCTCTAATAGCAGTATATGGACAATTGTTTAATGATTACTGATGATGGATAGTCCTGTATTAGATTATTATACAATATTAGTCCTTATTGTATCTATTCTCCTACTGATAGAACTGGTCTATTGTATGTATGTGAGTAACTTCATTGGATTAATGGTCTCCAGGTCACTCCACTATCAGTTTTATGTTTGGTATTACTATACACTACCAATACTGATGGTATGGGCCAGGATTAATACCCTAATTAGGTGAGTGGGTGTATGTTAGGGGGTGTGGTTAATTTCCTTTTATTTTTAGTATGTTACTGCTGGTTGGTATGGAGTATTGTTGGAATGTGTTCCCATCAACTGTGTATTCATCATTACTGCTACACATCATTCATATCATTATTATTAGTAATTTATTTATTCATAAAAGAAAATAAATAATTGTATTAACAAACTAACATTGTAATAGTATTATATCACTATTGGTAGTGGTTTGTGTGGTTGTTCTTTTCTGTGTCTATCAATCAATGTCTTCTTTTGATCTTCAAAAGTATCCACCAGGAGACAAGTGTATTTAATCTCAATATATTCAAGTGATGGATGGATGAAGATAGTTTCATATAAATGTTGTACTAGTTTTATCCAGTTAGGTTGAGATGACTTTTTATTAATATATCTACACTCTATCCTCAGTAGTCTGATGGTTGTATGTGACTGTAACATGTTAGTAACAGCAGGTAGTACCTGTTCATAAAACAATGGTGTCATTATTTGTTTCTTCTCTTCCTTACTACAGTTACTGTATGACTGATCTGGTTTGAAGTTCACTTTAAGTTCTGTGAGATTGTTCTTTTGAGAGATGACATTAATAAAAGTTGTTATCTCTTCATTCAGTGGAATGGATACACTCAACTGCTGTAGACTGGTGTTGTGTCTGAGACCAGTTGTTAGGAAGGAAAGGAATGAACTGGGAATGAGAATGAAGCTATACTCAGTATCAATCTCAAAGTATTTTAATGTTTGATTTTGTGTTAGCATGTCTTGTAGATTAGTACCAGTATTAAATTCCCATAACCATATCTCCACATTCAGAGCTTTAAGTGTAGCATTGGTTTGTAGAATAGTAAATAGTTCAATAGCACTCTCAGCTGTGTCTAGTGGTAAAGTAAGTGTATGTAGACTGGGATGAGAGGGAAATAGAAGATGTGGTGGGTATGGATCAGGTAGTATCAGACAGTGTAATCCTTTGATATGTGGAAGGAGTGATGATGTCATCAGTTTACTACTCCACCATCTTCCTCCTATCTCTAGAGCAGTCAGTGGTGTGTTCACCTCTACTATGTCCAGTGATGATGGTAGGATTTTATCAGGTATGCTCAGTGAAAGAGCTTGTAATGTGTTGTTGTCCTTTAGTAACTGCTCTATTACTCCATCAGGTATAGAAGAAGGATCATTACGCATATAACCAACATGTATTGTTAATGATGTTATTGTTTTATTTCTTGTTACTCCTCTAATGACACTGATAATGGTACTTGTTATTTCATTCTCTCCAGTATAATACTCCATCTTCATTTCTTGTAGTGTTGAATTCATTTCTATACATTTCTCAAGTTCAGTGCACTTGTCTGTGTAGCATGTATTGTCAACTATTGGTATAGTAGGATATACCATTATTAAGTGCAGTATCTTTATTTGAGGAAGATTGAGGAACTGTAACAATACAAGACAGGGAACATATTGACCAAATAATAATACACAGTAGCACTTCTGAATATTGCATAGAAGTGATGATTGTAATAATTTGTGTATTAATTCATCAGTGGGTTCATACAATTTTATCTCCAATCCCTTACATTGGGTTTGTAGTAATATGGTGTGTTCATGTGATATGTAATTATGTACATCCTCCAGGTGCAATGTTGTGTTGGAATTGTTTATACAATAACTGAGACACAACCAGTCAAACAATGATAATGATACTCTATTCAGACACAGTGAGTGGTTGTTGATGGATTGTGCTAATACTTGACATAATGTTGTGTTCTGTGATTCATACAGGAGTTGAAGAAGAAGAATGGGAACATTGTCAAAATCATCAGAACTGATGTGATTATCTATGAGGGGGCCTATTCTAATCTCAGGATTCTGATAGAAGTAGGAGAGATGACAAGTCTCAAATCTAAACAAT